GGGGAGGCAAAAAAAAACCAGCAGTTTTTCTCCCCCAGCCTCTTCCACCTCTGTCTGCAGGCACTCGGTGCGCGTTTGCTCGGTCCAAAAAGTGACTGAGAAGCAAAGGGACGTGTTTTCAGAGAGGTAAAAAGACTCTTCCCTCTCCCCCAGGCCAGGTGAATGAAAGACAATTTCAGGCTTAACTCTTCTCCAAAACAGGAATGGAAAGTTATGATTTAATCAGTGTGCACGCACACACACACACAGAGGGAAAAAAAAAAAAACCGTAAAAAAAGGAAATCAGCCATTTACTTTCTTTTTTGTTTGTTCGCAACACAGAGCAAAAGATTTCAGCCACTTGCTCTGCAGAAAATACAATTTCCCCTCTTTTATTCTAGCTGGAAAGGCAGAGGTTTTTTTCTTTGGAAAAAAAAAAAAACTCAACTAAAATTTTTTAGTCTTTCTAATGCTGGGCCAGTCTGCGCGTCTCTCCCCTCTCAATAGCTCATTCGCGCGTCTCTCCCCTCTCAATAGCTCATTCACATCAGCTGGGCCCTGCATGCACGCTGCCACATGGTTTCCTGTTTTCAAACTGCCCCCTTGCAGCCCCCTCCGCTTTCCACCCCACCCTGACCTCTCCAGGGATGAAATCTTTCCATACTTCTCCGGCTTTAGACATTCTCTCATTCACCGATTCAAAAGGGAATGGGGGTGGTTAAAAAAAAAAAAAAAAAAAAAAACAAAAAAAGGGGAGAAGAAAAGGGGAAGGGGAGGTTCTGTGGTTGGGAGCTTGTAGCAAGCAGAACTTGCTGCTTTTCTGGGCAGAAAAGCTGGAAACACAGGAATTGTTAATCCTGTGTTGCAAAGCAGGAAACGCAGGCATCGGAAACGGCGCTTATCAACTCAACGTTTAATTGCAGATCTCCAAAAGCCATCCTCCGCAGCGCCGGCTGAACCGGCCCACCTCCTGCTGCTGGGATTCGCTCCACTCGTGGAGCTCAGCTAAGGGTTTGCAGGTCTTGTCAGCCAGCCCCGCAGGGTGACCCAAGTCCCCTGGTTGTATGAGGCGCTTTGTAACCACCATCAAGCTCTGGCAAAGGTGATTCAAACCCTGCAACCGGCCGAAAGGGATGAAAAGTGAGTTTTCAGCATTTGCACGCAAGATGAGTCTTGCAAAGGAGCTCTACAGCCGTGTGCTGCGAGCAGGCGCTCCGGCTCCTCTCCTTCCAGCGCTGCCCAGCCTCCTGGCCACCCAAACCACTGCACCAGCAGCCCGCCCCTGAGTAGCAGGAACCCACTCCCATCCGCACCTGTTTGGTAGAACATCGAAGAACAGGATTTCACAGAACCACCAAGTGCTATTTTGGGCTCTCCTGCATCTGACACCCCCAATCCGTACAGCCAGGTTATGCAAAAGCATAATTATCCTCTAAACTTAGCAGACTCAGTAAGCAAGCTGAGAAGGGTGTCTTTTCCTAAGGCTACAGCACGGCTCGGTGGCACAGCGGCCAGCCACCGATCAAAGGTCCACCTGTGGGCATCATCCGTGAAGGTGTCCTCGTGCGCCGCAGTGGGCGGGCGACTGGCAGCGCATCAGCTCCTCCCGGTAAGTGACACAGGTATGCTCTTACCTAGTCAACGCGAGGTATCTCCCCCCACTTTCATTAGGCTCCAGTCTCCCCCTCACAACCCAAAGCTTCATCTCCACCACACCAACAGCTGAGCTGAGGACCTCCTCTATGAGGCTCTCTTACAGCTACGATCCCCAGCTTGAGATCTCAGCCAATGACTCTGCTCTCCTCAACAACAAGCGGAGCTTCTGCTTTCAGTATTAGGACATACACGAAATGTGGTAGTACTTTGGGGACTTTTTGGAGCCACCAGTTTTCCCCACAAGTAATGAATCCCAGCAATCATGTGCCTGTTGAGATGAGGAATCAGAAATGGCTGTGACAGCATTCCAGCCCTTCAAACACTACCATAAAAGGCAGGGATTTCCTCAAATCTAAATTTACAAGACAGGAACCTATAAACAAAGTGTGTGAATTTATTTCAGGTAAAGGAATTTGCAGCAGTTGCTGTACTTTGACGATGCTCTAATGTTTCATTATGGAGCACCCTTACTTTTTTAACCGATCCAGCAATTAAGTTTGTTTTCAGATCAATGCAATGATGGCTGCTGGCATACGAGGCTGAGATTTATCCAAACTACAGCTGCACAGCTCTGTCAAAGCTCTCCACTTAACGCGCTTCACCTTTGAACCGCAGAACCCCTCTAGCAACCCGAAGGAGATGTTCAGCTGCAAGGCTCAAGCAATGCCCACCCTGCAGAGGAGACTGCCGTGTGAGCATCGCTACTAACTGTGGTAGCGCATCTTCCACAGAGACGCGATAGGGCTGAAATGTAGCTGCATCAACACCCAGTCTTTTGTGGCTCACATTATCTCACCCTTCCTACAGGTAAGGAAGAATGAGAAACACCTCTAGCCAAAGGATGTGGGAGATGCACCGGGAGATGTGCAACCTTCACAGCAGGAAGTTAAAGAGAGGAGACCGATTTTTCTGAGCTATGCACAGGCATCTTGGTATGGCCAAAAGCCACAAGTAGCACAACGCGTGCCTTCATGGGACAGGAGGGAACAGAAACTTCAGGTGGAAGGCACAGGCAGGTGGCAAGAGCTGGCTAGGCTAGGGAAGCTGCCAGGCTAGCTCCAGGCAGGGTGGCTCTGGGCACAGGACGCGTCCCAGGACTCAGTACACATCCATACCCTACCTGTGAATCAAGATGATGACCTGCCTTCCTCCATAATTATGGGTCTTGATCTAGTAAAGGCTTCCAACTGATCCCTTTGGACCCCTCTACACCTTTAAAGCCACAGAGGGAAATAACACAAACAAACAAATAAACCAACAAAAAATACCACCCTCTCTCCCTTCTCTTTTTCTTTTCAAATGTAAGCTTCCAAATCCCTAATTTGTTCCAAGAGTTTTTCTGTGGTTATGTTCCTGACTCACAGCCAAGATCAGGAGGCCAGTGACGACTACAGACACCCAAAGTCCATCTCTTCTGCATTTCCAGACTTTACTGTTGAAGGGGGGGGAGAAACGTAATCTAAACAAATAGAAGCTAATACGCCAGACACACTCCCCCTTGGGAGACCATCACTCTCTTCCCACGTTAGGTGGGGCTTTTGCTGCATTGTTTCAGGCGAGAAATCTTGCCTTGCACACAGCCTCACGCACACGCAGGCACGCCGGGCAGACGCAGAAGACGGGACTCAGCCCGGACGCAGCAGAACAAAGGTTTCCAGTCTCTTTTGTCCATCTATTGAAGGCAGTCCCTTGAATGCCATACGCATGTTTACACAGTATACGGTATCTATCCTCAGAAACACAATGCACCAGACAATCAGAGGATAAAGATAAAATTAAAAAAACCCTACTCCGACGAGTACATAATTCTCTTTTTTTCTGCGAGTTGCTCAAAATGGAGCGGAGACGCGAGCAGCAGCCCGGGCCACCGGCTGCTGATGCGACAGTTCTGGGCTCCTTATTGAAAACATCTGGAAGCGCTGAGCCGCTTTGTGCAGACAGGAGTTTGAAACTATCCAATCGTTTCATATCCAAACCAAAGTCCAGCACTGCGGATTTCAAGGGAAGGAAAAGGGGGGGCGGGGAAGGCGCTCGATCGCACCATATGATCTGTAACTCATCCAGATAAAACTCCTCCTCCTCTACCCGCTAACAGACCTCTTAATGACAAGGAAATCATGGTTATTCTGAAACAGACTGCACTATTGTTATCTGTTTCAAATTACTTTTGCCATATTGTTATGAAACACTGAAAATGATGCAATCTGCTGAAATACTCAGGCGTATTAACTTTTTTAACTGCGGCGCTGATAGGAACTAATGGAGCAGCAGATGAAAGGAAAAAATTCTCCCTGTCTTAAGCAAGTCAAAACCCACTTTTGGGCACTAAACACAGGAGATAATAAATTCATGAGACAGTAAGAGAGAAGAATTACAATTTCAATTATTCTTTTCTTAAAAGAAATCAACGTTTTGGAACGGGTTTTTAACATTTTATGTTTCTGGCACTTGCAAGATTAGAAAACAAACCCCT